CAGCTCTATGGTACCCGAGTCCTGCCAGGAATGATCACCAAGTGCAGGGCCGGGAGTCAGTCCTGAGCACTATTGGGTGTGGCCCAAAAACTAAAATTAAAAATAAAAACCAACAACCAAGTTCAGCAATATAAATCAATGAATTAAGTGCATGCTTTCATGTGGAAGGTTTGATCCCCTGAGTCCCACCAGAGTGATCCATCCATAAGAACTGCTAGGTGTGTTTGAGTGGGGCGGGGGAAGCAGGGGGACACTAATGACAATAGCTGAATGTCATTTAAAATAACAACAGTTCAATGTTACTTAAAATTATTTGAAAACTCCTATTGTGATACACAGATGTGAACTCTAGTTAACAACTCAGTATTTATCAGTATTTATTTTAAATTTCATCAAAATAAAAATGAAAATCCTGGTGGACAGAAGAAAACACTGGGGGTGGGGTTAGGGATGGAACATAGTATGTATAAAACCCAATTATAAAATAATCTTAAATCTGGAACCTTAATAAAATTTAAACAAATAAAATTAAAACTTGAAGTTATAATGAAGCTGAATAGCCAGTATTTTTAACACCAGAGACTAACCAGAGACTATTAATCCTGCAAACTAAGTGCTGTTATCATCAAGACAGACACATAAGAAGCTTAAAGAAGTTAAGACAACCAAGGTCACACAGGTACCCAGTGGTAGAGTTATCTTGGAACATCATTCCAAGCCCATTTTCCTAACCACTTATCCCTTCTCATTATTACTTACACTTTCACAATTTAAAACTTTTCATAACTCTTTCCTAGCCACTAAAATGATTCCCTGAGTCTTTTCCTGGTCTTTCCAAACTCACCTGACATTCTTCTGCGAACATGACTGAGTATAGTCTCTTGAATCAGGAATTCAAGACTCTACGTCACCCTTCTCTAAAGAAAAGAACCATCTGGGCCAGAGAGATAGTACAGCGGATGCATGCTGCCTGCACACAGCTAACTTGAGTTGGATCTCTGGCAGCCCGTATGATCCCCAAAGCACTTCCAGGAATCATTCCTGAGTACAGGGCCAGGAGTAACCCCTGAACATTGGTGGATGTGCCCCCATCATAAAAAAAAGAACTATCTATAGAAAACATAAGACCTCAATTCACCTATTCACCTCAATTCACCTATGCCAGCAATTTCCCTACAACATCTGTCCCTCAGTGATGTCATAAATTTTGTCTAAAATGCCTGCTGTCAACTACTACTGCCATTTATGTAACATCCACTTATCACTCCATGATTCAGATAATGCAATCACACAAAGTTTTGCGTCGTCAATGAGAAATGATCTTGCCCCAACACTGAATGTTTGCATTTATGTAACTCTATGTTATAGTAAAACATTTATTGAACAGGTATAAGAAGTATAATTATTTGTGCCACAAAAATGTATTCAAATGTTATAAATAAAATATAAATATAAAGGCCCTCCCATTGATCATCGATTTGCTCGAGCAGGCCCAGTAACGTCTCCATTGGAGACTTTGTTGTTACTGTGTTTGGCATATCGAATGCGTCACGGGGAGCTTGCCAGGCTCTGCCGTGCGGGCGAGATACTCTCGGTAGCTTGCCGGGCTCTCTGAGAGGGGCGGAGGAATCGAACTCGGGTCGGTCATGTTGGCTGCGTGCAAGGCAAACGCCCTACCGCTGTGCTATAAATCAGACAAAATATAACATCAGGAATATGCTAGACTCACCATGTAGAACCTTTTTACTCTTCTCTCTTTGCTAATTACAATGGCTCCTTCTGGTTTTGTTTCAGAGGAAAGACCCCTGCGAAGGCCTTCCTACCCTTCCTCCACCCTAACTCTGTGCCTACTGCTACCCTGGAGACCACCTCATCACAGCCTGTATGTTACACTTATCTCTCTCTCCTCTATACTTTAAATCTCTATGTTCATTTTGTTGGACGCTGTATTCCAACACCTAGGACAGTGGCTACAATTACTTTTAATATATTTACAATTAACTTTTCCTTATTCTATTTTTGTTTATTTTGTTTTGGGGCCAGACTTTGCTATTTTGTCTGATCGATTCAGAGAAAAGGCATCAGACTTTAAAAATACAAATGCTAATTAATTAAATGATCATGAAAGGAAAATAATTCTTGTGGCAAATGGAATAAATTATCTTAAGTGAGCAAATAATATAGGTTGAACTACAAAATAGCATAAATCTCAATACTTGTATGTCTGTTATGGAGTAAACAAGGAGCAACATATGAACATGTTAAAATGTAACTGAACCAATCAAAATGGTTTGCTTGGGTTGTTATAAATCATTTTATCATTGTATCATTGTTATTTGATCTTCTGTAGTCATCAATATATTATTCTGTAGTCCTCAGAATATCATTCATCTATACTGCAAAGCTCTAAAAACTCCAAATTACCTCAACTCTTTATCAACGTCAATGTACCAATTTCCATTCATAGGCAAACCATTTGTCTATGACATAATGACAAAATGGTGTCACTCTCCCACCATCAAGTTTCTTCCCATTTATTGCAATCTATAAAACTGCCTATCCTGTCAACTTTTAAAATAACAATCATAGTTCACTTTCTCCACAATAACTCTTGCACTCCAGTACTGGCTTAACTGCAATGCATACCTTCAACTATGAATACATTCATCTGTGAGCATGCCTTCATTCATTTGTGATACTAGTTTAATGTCAAACTCAGTGCAGAGATTAGACTTAAATGTTCATCAGTTAAATGCATTCATACAACCACAAATGTTCACATTCCCAGCACCCTAAGCCACCAGCATTTGTATAGATTCCAAGAGCTATCTAAAATTCTCTGAATATCTAAGAAAGGCTAGACAAACCTCTTAGGATCATTATTACTGGTACCAAGATACCAAAACTAAACTTTAAAACTAAAGATAAGCTCAGAAAAATATTTGCATTTTATGGAAACTAAAAGATACATCATTTTTTAAAAAACAGAATAACCAGATAGGGAAAGATATAAAACATATATAAATAAGCGATTCAGAGAAATATTAATGATTCTGACAAATAACACCCTTAATTGCAGTAATTAAATAGTTGCAAATTAAAATAGTAAAATGATATTCTTATTTATGTTTTGTACAGATGAAAGTTCTCAGTCTCAACAGCACACCTTTATATTCATCTATAAGGGGCTGGAGAGACAGTTCAGCAGGTATTGGTCCTTGCCTTGCGAACAGCCAACCTGAGTTCTACCTCTGACAACACATGTTCCCTGAGTACAACCAGGAGTGATTTCCTGGGAACAAAGCCAGGAGTTAGAACTGAGTATAGACAGGTGTGCTTCCCACCAAAAATATATTTTTTAATTAAAAATAAGTGTATTAAGTAAAGTAATACTCTTTTCTAGAGAAAAATCTGAAAATACAAGTAAAAATAAACAACACATAATTATTTTGATCCAGAGATTCTACCTCAATGAACAGCATCCTAGGAAAACAAATATGTGTATATATAAGAATTCTATTGCAGAATTAATTGCAGCATTAGAAAAAAATAATGAAAGCACACAAATACACACAAATCCCCTGGCAAGGGATACTGTGATGTACCAATTAAAAGAGACAGGGTAAAGGTTCACCAGAGGATATGTATAAAATTAAGAAAAACAAAAAATTCTACAAAGACATTGAAAATACTTCATATGCAATCAGCTGGGTGAGATTATTATACAAAAAATACACAAATTTATTCTAGGTTATTCTGGTATTACACATCAATGTGTCAATCCAACAGTTGATAGTTTCTGGGTTTAGATATCTTATCGGACTCCTCCAGTTCTAAAATTCTTTAATTCTAAGAATCTTCTAGAGCCTAGGTCTAGCATTGAGGGTGCATGCCTAGCGGGCATCTGAAATGAATTTCCATTCCTAACACCACAAGATACCCTGAGCATTGCTGGGTGCTGCCTTAGAGATCCTGAGCACTGCTGGCTGTGACCCTGGAGACTCCCCCCTCAGTGGTCTGGGGGCGGCCCAGGTATCACCAGCAGTGCAGAGACCAAGCACCACAGCAACCTTGGCCACTTGTACTCAACCACCAGCCCAAAGACTAATAATTGCCCAGTGATGCCCCTAGGCCTGTGGAATACCACTTGGGAAGTCCCATTGCCCCTCACCCCCTCCCAGAAAACAAACAAACTGCAACATGAAAATGCCTTATAGTGTCCAAAATTTTTAAACCTACATTGCAATACTTGGGTTGTTAATACTACGCTATTTGATATCAATGATGAGTCATATTGAATGTGCACATTTTATAAAAATTAAAAGATATAACTTTAACCACAATAGTAATACAAACGGAATTAAATCTTGAATAAGACTAAGAAAAATAACAACAGTAAAAGAGATAACAGCAAACTCTGCAAAAGAGATAACAGCAAACTGGTATTCTTAATCTAAAAGTGCTCTTTTGGCTTCAGAATTCCAGGCGAATTAAATAACCTATCTGACCCTCAACTGCTTTGTTTTGAAAAAGAAGCTGGGGCCAGAGAGAGAGCGCAAGTGGCTGGAACACCTGCTTTGCCTGCTGGGGGCCCAGGATTACCCATGGTGTCCTGAACAGCAATGCAAGCAACCCCTGGGCACAGGACTGGGAGGAGGCCCCAAGCATCCCAGGTATAACCCCCCCCCCACACACACACACACACACACACACAAAAGAGTAAAGCTCAGAAAGAAGTTAGGCATAATAAAAGTATTATGTCACATATCAAAGGTGACTCATAGTGCCCAAGACAAAACAGTTTCTCAGGTCTGTCTGGGCTGCATCACAATTGCTTTTGTTAACCTTATCTAGTTTGTTTCCCCACCCCTCCCCAGGAAGTTTTGTCACTCTGAATCTATTTTTTTGTTCATCTGAATTTTTGTAATGTCGCACATATTTTTTTCTAAGTAAATAAGCAAAAACATTTTATATCAGAAATTGAGCAAGGCCATACTTACAAAGCACACCCCCAAAACTCCGTGTTGTTCTCCTCTGAGCTCAGTGCTCTTCGTAGGCACATGGGTCTGCCTCCTATCATTTCTTCATGAGGTTCAGGGCAAAAGGCCTAGTCAAGCAGGTGATCTTTGACTGCTTCTACACTTTGCCCCAACCACCTACAGACAAATGAAAGGGAATAAACCTCATTTGTATCTTTAATCTAAAAATCCACACACCCTACCTTCCTAGTAATGACATTGAAAGATGAAAGAAAGAGAGAATCTTACTGGGACCATACAAAGTCCCACTGGACTCACAGGAATTCCTCTCATTCAAGTGCCCAGCCAGTTACTGCTCACTTGTGGCTTCCACCCACGCCTGATCACCTCTTAGGCACCAGGTAACGTCACAAGGTGTGTCACAGCCCAAGTCAGTCAAAAGGCCTATCCCTGGCAAGCCTATCAAAAGCTAAATTAAGCCTGGTCATAAAATTAACATGAACTAGTACTAACACTCCTAAAAGGTACACTCTTTAAAAACAAGCCAGTTCTCCCACATTTAGCATTGCAAGTAAACTGGCTGTTAACAAGAGCTATGGATAGAAAGATTTTCAGTTCTTTGTGACTTTCCTTACTCCATGCAATTTTTAAGCAGTCATGAGAGGTTGCCCAGATAAACTGGCAATGTCCATGTAGCACTGTAGCACTGTCTTCCTGTTGTTCATCGATTTTCTCGAGCTGGCACCAGTAACGTCTCCATTGTGAGACTTGTTACTGTTTTTGGCATATCGACTACGCCACAGGTAGCTTGCCAGGCTTTGCCGTGTGGGCGGAATACTCTCAGTAGCTTGCCAGGCTCTCAGAGACGAGCGGAGGACTCGAACCCAGGTTGGCTGCGTGCAAGGCAAACGCCCTACCAGCTATGCTGTTGCTCCAGCCCTGCAATCGTGCAATCACTCCAGCCCAGCAATGTCCATATTAAAAAGAAATCCAGAAATAACTTCAAGGAAAAAAAAAATATATATATATATATATATATGTATATATATAAAGGCAGAGTTCATCAAAGCAAATTGTCAAGGTGACTTTCAAAGTTAAGTTTAACACTGGACTGACAGTTATTGGACTGTTGGTGATGCTGTATTTTGTTGCTATTTATTTGACTTATTGCCTATGTGGACCAAGACTGTGACAAAGGTTATAAATATTTTTCTCCTTGGGAAATTATGCCAATGGCAAAGGGGGCATGCTGAGAAAACATAGGGTCTGTGGGGTCGGAAAATTGTACAGTGTACAATGTACATTGTACAGTGGGAAGGGCATTTGCCTTGCAGAAGGCCAACCCAGGTTAGATCCCTGCAACTCCATCTGGTTCCCTGAGCCCGCCAGAAGTAATTCCTGAGTACAGAATCTGGAGTAAGACCTGAGCCCTTCCAGGTAATGGCCCAAAAAGAAAAAATAAAAAAGGAAAAAAATAAAGAAAAAGAAAAGAGACAAAGGACCTGTGTCAAATTCACTCTTCCAAGCAAGTGGTCTTCACCCACTGAGAAGAATCCTACCGGCTATATTTTATAAGCAGCCAAATTTCTCCATGCCAATGTGAAACTGCTGGAGATTTCCTCTCCTATCCAAGCTATCCAGTACCATGGGGCAGTAACCATCTATGGGTTTTTAATACTTGAGCTGTGACCAGTTTATCCTGACAGGTGCTATAAGCATGAAAAACCAGACTTTGAACACAATACCCATTTTCTTTCAATCTTTTAGGGATGTAAAGTATCTAAGTTTCAATAATGAACACATGAAGGAAGAAAAACAATTTGGATGTTTCTGTGCTAAGTGAGGGCTGGAGCAATAGCACAGCAGGTAAGGCATTTGCCTTGCACACGGCTGACATGACCAACATGGGTTCGATTCCTCCGCCCCTCTAGGAGAGCCCGGCAAGCTACCAAGAGTATCTTGCCCCCACAGCAAAGCCTGGCAAGCTCCCCGTGGTGTATTCCATATGCCAAAAACAGCAACAACAAGTCTCACAATTTGTTGTGAGACGTCACTGATGCCCGCTAGAGCAAATTGATGAACAATGGGAGGACAGTGCTACAAGTGCTGTGCTAAGTGAATGACTCAAATTCATTCCCCCACTGTCTTTTGAATTGTTTAATTAAGGAGTTTGCAAGGTCTGCATTGGGCGTGTGGCTCAGGTTACGTTTCTATGAGACAGCACAAGCTCTGTACCAGGAAGAATGAAATTCTGACCAATTCCAATAGACCAAAAGCCTGGTGTGATACTTTACCTAATTCTCAGTACAACCTGTAAAATGGCTTTACAGGATGTCTGCAGAAACGAGGAATGCTGTCAAAATAGAAACAATGCTGCTGCAAATGCAACGTCCGAACTCCAGGAAGTCAAATCAGGGGCTTCCAAGAGTTAACAGTCGGAGCAAGTCCCATATGGGCACAGAAACACAGGTCACCGATAAAGTTCCCGAGGAAAATTCCAGTGCCCAGACACCAGGCACGAAACGTCAAGTTCCAACCCAGGCCCTGCAGGTCAACGCCCAAACGAAGCCCAACTCACTCGATGACAGCTTAAACCGCAAGAGTCGCTGGCAGCGGAACCCGCAGTTCCCAAACCGAGAACAACGAATTTCAAATTCCCCGCGTCACTTGGCCGGGACCCGCCTGTGGACACTCCCGCCGAGAAATCGGGGGCGTCCCGAAGGTTGACACGCCGACCCCGACCCATCTGTGGTCCGATTCCCCCTACCCACGGCCACACCCTAAGGCTCCGAGCAGCTCTGGGGGTCCCCCACCCCCGGGAGGAGAGGAAGTGGGACCTCAACGTCGATGACAGGCACGAAGTGTCAAAAGGGCCAGGTTGGGAGGGTGGGCAGTTTGGAGGGAGGTACCTGACATAAGAAGAGGACCCCAAGTCCTTACTGCTGGATCATCGCCGAGGTCCCACCCGGCTCCCGCAGCCACCAGCACCCCCAGGCGTGTAACTGATCAGACGCGACGGAGCAACCGACTCCGCGCTCGGCAGACTCGCAGCTATGGCAACTTGAACTAGCCGCCCAGCCGCAGCGACTCTACCAGACCCCGCTGGCGCCGCGCGGCCTTCTGGGAGTTGTAGTCTTCCTTGTACTCAGGAGTAGGGAGTTCCTACGGCAGAGCCATCCAGAGAAAACTGCAAGTCCCAGGAGGTCAGACGTTTGGCCTTCCAAGCGCCTTTCCCGGAAGAAGCCGGATTAGTTGGTTTCTGAGTCTCGGGGCTGTGCCCTCCTGCCTACTTCTAGTTGTTTTCTGGTTTTTTTTTTTTTTTTAAAGCGCCAGTAATTGCTTTTAGGAGGCGAATTCCAGATAATTCGAGAGCAGCCGTGGCTCTAACTTTAATTTTCATTGGAAAAGTCTAAAATATTTACATCTTTAATTTTTTTTTAAATCACAGTCATTGCAACAATAACGATTGCAACAGTGTCAGTTACTCCTTGGAGGACGGGGAAGCCTAATTTTCAGCAGTAAATTATATAAATCTCTTTTTACCAGAGCCCCATGTCTCGTTCCAAAGGCTCAAAAATTCTTAGAACTGGGAGGGATCGAGACGATTATGTAATCGAACTTTTACATCTGGAAAAAGTAAGTGAATTACGAAGCTCTAATATTAAGACAAAAGTATAGACTATAAGGCTGTAGATTGTGGGACGTCATCATGTTTGTTATAAAACATGAAAGAGACGTTTTCCCCTGGGCAAAGATGGATTATGGATTCGGTCAAAGAAGGTACATTAAAACCTCAACAAAGAATTGAACTTAGAGATGTCTGAAAAGTAGAAATCAATTTTAAATCCTGGACTTTTGTTTCCTTCTGCTCTGCAGAAAAAGCATTGATATTTCTTCCTCAAGCCTAAAACCAGAGTTGATTTGCGAAAGGCTTCCTAGCTAGCTTAAAAAGCGCTAGATCACAGGGTTCCTGTCCTAATAATTCTACAACTCTCCATTTCCCAATTCTGCAACTATCCATTTCCCATCCACTAGCCTATACTTGAAACACGAGGACTAACCTTTTAAAAATTTTCTCTCTCCTCAGTTTTTCCACACTTCCTACTCTCCTTCCCCAATCCCATCTATCTCAAAACTCATAATAGAAATTGGAAATATTACAATAATTCAAATTTTTTTCCTGGCCAACAGAGAGGATAAAATTTACTGCATATCCAACTGCAACCTAAAAATCTTCAAATTTTCAGTCATCAGTTTTCAAAATTCTTGCTCGTGTTGTGTTTAAAAACAAGCTTCACTTGATAAGAAGAATAAGTGTTTTTTTTTTTTAAGCTGTAGGAGAGTAAGATAGTAAGACAGTAAGCCAGCAGGGCACTTGCCTTGCCCAAGGCTGATCACAGTTCCATCTTGGGACCCATTTTGGTCCCCAGAGCTGGCCAGGAGTGATTCCCTAAGCGCAGAGTCAGGAGTAAGACCTGAGCATAGCCAAGTATCAACCAAAAATAGTTAAAAAGAAAAAAAAAAAGCAAAATAAGCTGTAAAATTGCATCCCATATGCACACATAAGTATAAAATAATTGCTATAATATTTTTACTTCTCAAAATTATTGTTTTTATTTACTTCATTCAGTAGATCTGCCCCGAACTTTTCTTTCGCTACAGCTCTTCTTCTTTTTTTTTTTTCTGACTTCTTTGGGTCACACCCAGTGATGCTCAGGGGTACATTGAATCTTTCTAAACTCTAGGCATTGTATCAGACACTGAAGATAAAAAATATATCTTCTACCTTCAGATTGCACCAAATAAGAGGGAAATAAACTATGAAACTCATTTGTGGAACATAAAATAACATAATATGAGACTGACACCAAAGGACAGTGTTCGGTCATTGTATGACAGAAACTCACCCGTGAAAACTTTGTAGCTGTATCTCATGGTGATTCAGTTAAAAAAAAATCGGGGCTGGAGCGATAGTATAGCGGGTAGGGCATTTGCCTTGCACGTGGCCGACCAGGGTTCGATTCCCAGCATCCCATATGGTCCCCTGAGCACTGCCAGGAGTAATTATCAGTGCAGAGCCAGGAATAACCCCTGTGCATTGCCAGGGGTGACCCAAAAAGCAAAATAAATAAATAAAAATTTTAAAAAATCTGAGTGATAGCAGATTACATGAATTTCTATAGATTTTAAAGAGAAACTTTACTAAGGAAGACTTATATAAACACCTTCTAAAAGAAACACTTCCCAAAAAATTCATACAGTCTTAAGTTGTATGTGTTAAAGCTGAAAGATCACAACCTTTTTTTCACTGGTAGAACCACATTTAGAGAATTGAATTTAATACTATGGATTCATTTTTAAAAGTGATCTTAAGCCCCTCCAAAAAAAATCAGAGGAAATAACTGGTACTGAAAGGTTTAAAATCAGAGCTGACCTTATCATGACCAATTTTTAAATGCCTTAAACTCATAACAGAATTTGTCATTTGTTGGCTCTCAATATAGTGTGTCATTCAGGAAAAAAAGAAAAATAAGTCATCAAATAAGATATAACAAAATTTGCAAAATTTCTTGTAATCCTGAATGACATTCATTGTTTTTAATTGACTAACACCAAATTGATATCAAACACCAAAAAAAAAAAATACTAAAACTGAGTCAGCTGGCTTAGAATTAGTAGAACCCACGTGAATTATCACTTATGGCACACTTTTACAAACAATATAAATAGAGGTACAGAGTCAGATGTGCCATAACAAAATACTACAAAATTAGTAAAAAAATAAAAATAAAACAATTTCACCATTCTGGAGCAACCAAATCCAAGATCAAATTGTCAATAAGATTGACTTTATCTAAGAACTGAAGGCCTTGGGACTGGAGCAATAGCACAGCAGGTAGGGCGTTTGCCTTACAGTAGCTGATCTAGGTTCGATTCCCAGCATCCCATATGCTCCTCCGAGCACCGCCAGGAGTAATTCCTGAGTGCATGAACCAGGAGTAACTCCTGTGCATTGCTGGGTGTGACCCAAAAAGCAAAAAAAAAAAAAAAAAAAAAAGAACTGAAGGTCTTTTTACCTATATAGACAGATACTTAATATTTATCTTTCTTCCTGTGAGGAAAAAAGTCATATAGGATTAGGCCCTATTATAATCACCTCACTAAACCGTAATGATGCCCTTGAAATACTTAAAGTCCTTATGTTTAAATATAGTGCCATAAGGTTTTAAAAAATGGGAAGTAGAAAGAACATAATTCAGTTCCCAAAATTGCTTTTTATTTTAATCTTCTTTTTTTGTTTTTTTTTTTTTTTTGGTGCCACATTCAGCAGTGCTCAGGGTTTACTCCTGGCTATATAATCAGGTGTCACTCCTGGCACTGTTATGGGGTGTTAGGGATCAAACCTAGATCAGCCATATGCAAGGCATGTGCCCTACCCTCTGTACCTTCAGGCCCTTCAATTCCCCAAATTGTAGCTAATTCACAATTAGTGCCATCAATGATCTTTCCCGCCACATTTGACCTTGAAAGGTAAACGTGGTGTCTATTTTTTACATGCTTCACATCTATTGCTCCTTAACTGGAAATGTTCTTATCTTACAATGTTGGAGCACAAAGCCTTGTTTACAGTATAAAAATTCTTATCACTCTGTCATTGCTGATGGGGCCAATCAAACTCTTCAGTCATTAAGGGTTTGAAACTGGGACTCATGGAGTCAGTAGATTGTTCAGTGGTTGGGCCACATTATTATTTGACCCAACCCAAATTCAATCCGGCACATCATGACCTTCCAAGCATCACTGGGAAAGCAATACCTGGGGTTACATGATGTTCCCTGACATTGCAAGACTGACTCCAAGCAGTATTACATGCTTGGGCCCTCAGTTTAAACCACTGGTCCTGTTAGCAGAGAATCACTAGGAGGGTGTCCAGTTGACCATGTCTTAGAAGGCACACATAATAAATAAAATTGGAAGTCAAGCATCCACTTGTCTTCCTAAATTGTCTTGATATGCAGGTAAAATCTGAGGCTGTCTCAGTGAAGCAACCATGTTTATTTCATTATTGAGCCAGCGGGGGTCACTCTTTGATATTTGGGAATAATATAGTACTCAGAAGTCACAACTTATTGGTACTGGACGCGGAGGATGAGGTCACTCTATCATACTTGGGAACCATGCAGGGCTGGGAGGAGAGGGGGAAACTTGGAGTTCCAGTTTGCAAAGCATGCTACAAGCATTTCAGCTACTCTCCAGTCAGAGGTAACTGCATCAAAATTCAAGGAAAAATAAATAATTTGAAAAGGAGCAGGGATTGAAGGTAGTGGGGAGCATGAACAAAAGTGAGTGGTTCAGTCTAGAGGAAATAAGCCAGAGAATAGACCTAGATTTCTGAAAATTTACAACTTCCTGGCTCTAATCCTTATTATCCCTACCTATGACTAATAAATGGTCAAATCTTTGTTTCCCAGGATATATTAGAGGCAATCAGAAGGAGTTAAATACACAGATTCTGAAATGAGTTGGGTTCAAATCTCAAAATAAAACATGAAACAAGTGCTTAATTACCTTCACTTTTTCCTCTGCTAAATAAAGATAAAAATAACACTTGATTTGTAGTGTTGGTTAAGGGATAAATTTAATATGAAAGCATTTAGTACAGTTCCTTGATTAGTGAAAACACTCAATATATATTGACTGATATAATATATATACATACATATATATATATATATATATATATATATATACACACACACACATTCAATCCAGGGGTCACACCCATAAGCCACTCCTACCAGCACCAGATAATCAGCCACCCTCCAAAACTCACAGCTACTTCTCCTGGAAGGGAGCATAAAATGAGACTCTCATAATCATGCTACCGGATTCCATGCCAGGTTGTTTTCACTAGGGGCACCCCAGAAGGGAGTGGGTGAGAGCCCTCCCTGCCCCAACGGATCCAGCCCCGCAGCCAACCTCCACTACCC